CCAATAATTGCTGGGTTTCAATTAATGTCACTTCCTGTCTCATGCAGAATGTTCATCAGCTGACATTTTCTAAAATTTTCAGTAGAAATCTTTCTRGTTCACAGCAAATRGTGGTCAGTGTTTGACMATMACTTGAAACAGATAMTTAGATTCAAAGACTTTTATCAGCTYATTGAAACCTARCTAGCAATAGTAAAAAGCAAATCCTCACCAAACCTCACTTGATTTTCAGCTCGAAAAGAAAAACAGTACTTTAGAACAAAGAATATCCTCTTTGGAAAGTGTTGGTAAGTACTTAAAATATTATTAGTAATATTTATAGATTTCCTATATTGACATTAATTCAAGTTTGCAAAAATATTTAGCTGATTTGCTGTTCAATTATAGTTAATTCACAATTTTTTAATTCTTGTAGATAATTCAGAAGACAAAAAGAAATTAGAAGACCTTCTAAAAGAGCTAGTAAGATATTACATACAAATCAGAGGCATAGTGAGAGAGACTGGTGCCCCCCTAACTTAACTCCGCCCCCCCTCCCACCAAAAAAAGTTTAACCAAAAGCCACACTAAAAGTCTAATTTCTTTTCATGATGACGAGGCTAATTATATTTCATGATACTGTTTTGCACCTCATATCTCAGCACTAAAATCTCATTTGTGTGGGATTCCTGTGGATATGGCAGCAAACTCTTAACACGAAACATGTATGCATGTGTATATGATGGGAAAATGGTATATTGCACCCCATGTGGTTAAAACCTCACTTTACCCCCCAAGTCTTAAATTATTGTACTTGTAATCATAAAATGCTAATTAAAATTACATACAAGTATGAATATGTATGTTAGGATCTCTTTAAAGTCAAAGGTATCAATAATTTCTTAAAGCGTAACTAGAAATTAAAAATTCTATCTTAGAAAAAACTCAAAAGTCAAGTTGACGACCTCCCAACGAAAGAAGATATTGGTGACCTGGATATTTTTGTTAAATGGCCACAACTAGAAGAAGCCCTGAATGCAAGATCAAGACCCAGAACAGCCACRCCTAAACCACGAACCCCTACACCCACCCCACCTCCAAGATCACCTACCCCGGTCCACCCTAGTGAGGAYGCTCTAGAAGCTCTAAGGCAAGTGGGTGAATTAAGGGACAAACATGAAGACATGGTAGAGAAAGTGGGTGTTCTTGAGGTAAGTGAAATGATGGAAAAATGGGATTATTTTCTCAAGATTTTGTAATATGTTTTAAATATGTACTGTAATAATAATAATGAGGGAGATGTTTACATGTGCATTTGCAAAATAATGCACTTCTAATTTACAGTATATTACATAACATATTATGTATTTATAGTTATTATTTGTATGTTAAAAATTAAAGGAAAAGATGCCTATGAAAGCAAACTTAGATGATTTAGAGGAGCTGAAAAAGCGTCCAGGTATAGAATTTAATTTTCATTAGCTATATATTTTTTATTTTATCATTATATATTTTTTTACTGCATCAAAACAAGCAGAACTATCTAGTACTCTAACAAAGGGCTCACCAGTAGCTTCTACAGAAAGCTAAATTAACTGTCAGTAATAAACAAAGGTTTTTACCCAAGCGTTTGACACAGTTAGCCCAATCTCTTTTACAAAATTTAATAAGCTCAATTACATACTTTAAAATTTATCTCAAATAAGTAATAGAGATTAAAATTCAAGTCAAAGTTGTTGATATTATCATGTATATCTAGCTGTGCCACCAGATATTGTTGATCAGCTGAAAAAAATGAGAGAGGCTATTGAYGCAATTAACAAATGGAGAGAAGAGGTATTGTATTATTTAGTTTATTATACATCCAGAACCTGACAAGCTTTGTATGTCAACAATATTTATTTATTATTATCGTTGAATGTAGCAGAAATGTTTGTTAATGTTGGTGTCTTCAAGCCACCTTAATAAAAAATATTATTACTATCATAGAAATAATATTATAAATCACTAAAATGTATATGATTATGATAAATTATAATGATAAAGAGATATTTATAATTATAAAATGTCTAAAAATAACTTGCTAAAGAAATTAACATTTGATATTTGTGATCAACTGAACTATTATTATGCGTAATTTGGACAACTACATTGATAATTTCAAATCAGACAAATATAAAATAATAATTTTTTAAAAAGAAATTAATTTAGAATTAATTTGTTTTGACAATTTAAAAGAAAACCATTCCCGCTGACCTTGAGGATCAGTTAAGGTCACTGCGAGAAGGCTTGGCTCTACTTGATAGTCACAAGAATCAGGTACTACCAATATATCATATAATACTATTGTGAATACTCCATTTATACATATCTTTACAAACATTTTCYACAAATAAACAAAATATTTTTTATAATTTTACACATGAACAGCTAAGATCTTTGCATCTTTCTTCCATGGCAATTAACTCACTGCATTACATACTACAAATATTTACAAATCTATATAATTATATGACACTTAACTGTCAAGTTAAAATGGAAACTCTGAGTAAAATTTTTTAGGTAGCAGAGAACATATTAAACAATCACAATTAACATGTATACCTGTGGACCTATAAAGGCATGGTTTGAATGCAGAACTGCTTAAAACCACTTAGAGAGAGGGCATTAATATTTACGGCTACACTACACATGTTCCATTTGACTTCAAATTATCGTTACCACCAATTATTACAGTGTATGCATGTATTATTCACATTTAAAACCTTTTCTGTCCTTTTTGCGTAAGCTAGACATAATAAACACTGAAAAATGTTAATGCCAGCCATCAAACGTTAATAGCTAAACTGATTTATGTGTCCTTAAAATTTTAAACAATCAAGATAAACAAAATGAATGACCAACTGAAAGGCCTTAGAAGTGTAACAGACCTACTGACAGATCACAATGACAAGGTAACTAAATCTCCTTTAGTTTAATCTTGATCAAATGAAAAATTTGAAATCTAGATTAATATATTGCATAGCAATATTATAACTGATTAAAAATAAGACACATAAATTACATTTAGTATCTCTGAATCTCCACCATGTTCATTTCATCTTTTCATCATCTTATGGCACGTCTCTGCTGATTAAGAATTAAATTGCACTTTTGGCAGATGAAGCCCAGTACTTTGAATTATCTTTGCCATATCCATCTTAACTTTGCCTTTTTCTTATATCACAAAGAACATTAAAACATGAATCATAAATATTGGCAGATAAAGCATGTGATTTGCCAAATCCAATGCACTTTTATAGTACATTTCTTTTCTTGTAAATCTTTGCATGGAATATTATACAAATGATATTTTGGAATCAAAACTGAATCATTGAAGAATAATGAGAGATTTTAGATCAACAGATCAGATCAGCAATTCTCTATAGCCACTCATTTGAAAATAGAGAGAATAACATTTGAGAATGTCAATTTTGATCTCACATTTGTTCAAGTATCATGAATGGTGAATGATGCTAAAAATGAGGATCAACCCACATCATAATACAAGTACTTTCTGCATGAATACTGTCATTAAAATAAATGCTTTAACTTTTCATATGATAAATGCATAAACCATCAGATTCAGCTAATTCCAGAYGATTTGCTGGAGCAACTAAACAAACTCAAGTACTTGGAGAAAAAAGTCAATCAAATGAGTGACTCCTCCCACCAGGTAACCATGACGACTTGTTGGGATCTAACCAATCCAATTACAAGCAAATTTAAAGATCTGAATTTTTCATTAAAGAAAGATATATGTACCATAAAGTCACTATCACTTCCTGTGACTGCACCATTACCTTTCATTACCCATATAACTTGTCATTCATTCTAATACTCTACACTGCAATCCTCTGCACCTTTGCATTATTAAATGCACTTCACTTGATATGTGATTTGACTCACATAAAGATTTTAAATTTAATAAAATAAATATGCTTATTTTAATATTAATTTTGAAAATTTAATTTAATTTTTATCATAAATTCACGAACTTTAATTCTAAAGCTTCCACACAAACTTCAACGTATGGAAGAGAGATTTAAAGAGGACTTTGAGAGAGAAATACGAACGCTTAGAGACGGGCTAAGACTACTGAATAACCAGTTTGAAAAGGTTTGTAGTAAAAAAGATCAACTCATTTAATGGTTAAATAACTAAACCCAAGATAACTAACACTTTTGGATACCAAAAAAATTCGAACCTTCTACTTTGCAGGTGTTTGTTCAAATGTTCAAAGTGTATGAAATTTGAGCTCAAAAATATCTTAGAAATAGGAAATGAAGCTAAAATGATACTCACGTTTTGTCGACAATAAGTCTTGAATGGAAATTTCTCTCTTTATCCTTTTAAAAACTTGATAAATTTTGCATTTATTTAGCCAGAATTTTGCTGTGCAACCAACTCAACAACTTTCCCTCGTTTGAAGTCCAGCTCCTCTTCCTCGCACATGACGCGGCGCGGCCGCGCTAAAATGGCGGGAAAATAGTAGAAAAACTTTGATTGGTCGCTTACTTACATTTTAAATGATTGGGCCATATGATCAAGTATTAAAAATATATAACTAGAAATATTATAATTATATTTAAACATAATTTTTAAAACTATTTGATTATTTAAACTTTTGAATCTCAAAATTTAAAAATAAAGCTTAAGAAGATGAAAGACTCATCACCAGCTTCATCGGCTACAGCAAAAGCACAGGTAAACGTTCATTAGCTTAAAACATTACATTTATATTAAGCATATAAATTTAAAAAAATTCCCAATAACTTAACAAACTAGTAATTAAAAATAAGGAAAATACTGTGCTGTTCACCATTTTGCGGAAGAAATGACCACCATTTCTACTGACAGTAACATTGAGCTTTCGCCTTTCAAAATCAATTCTTTCACAATCGTAAATATCGTAAGAAACATCCGCCATGTTGGTTTTTATAAACCAAGACAAACCAATCGTTCSATTGTTCAAAGGAACCAACATGGCGGTTATGACGTCGCATTGATCCCACGAGTTTTAGGGCTTTCTGGTGCTTTCTAAAAACAAAGTTAACTGATGCGCGCCTACCTCCTGGAAATTCAATTTGATGATCCCTGACTTAAATTCGTTACTCACAATTAATTTCTCAGGGAGATGGATCTATAGAGTCTTTGCGCAACAAGTTAATAGATCTGCAAACAGAACAGGAGAARCTAGACAGCTTGACCAAAGAACTGGTTGAAGAACACAACAGAAAACAAAAACATATTGATGTAAGTTAGTTGGAATAGTAACAACTCTAGCATTAGTTTTATTTTTCAGTTTAAAAGGGATATCTACGAGTGCCATAATCTTTTACCCAGAAATATGCAAAAAAGTTACGCAATAACCCAGGGTCACAGATGCGCTTTCACTCTAGATCTTAGTCTTGGACGTGGTTGGTTTCCAAACCCACGCACGCTGTGCATCAGGATATTGCGCAATCGTTCGTTGAATCGTCTCATTATGAATAGATTTCGTTAATATCTTACTAATGAACATTTGTCTGGGTCCAGGCTCTTTACGAGTACGTGGAGCGGTTACAAGAGCACAAAGCTGATAAGGAACAGGTTGCCATGGAAATAGACGTGGTATGTAGATATAAAATAGAAAAAACGGTATGTTCTCTGTTCTRTATTAAATAACTTTGTTGTTGCTTGAAAAACAGAAAGCAGACAAGAGGGCGCTCGACAATCTTATCAGTCGGCTCAAGTTCGATCAAAGTATTGGAAACCTGGACCAAGCGATACAAGACTTGTTGAACCGACTTGAAGCAAACGTAAGTCTTTCTACTTTTTGGTTGCCATACTCTGCTTTGTCACCTATGAGCATATAGGAAGAGGTGATGGGAGATGGAGACAGAATGCGAGTGGAATACGAGGATCAAGATATCTTCTCGACCCCTACCTCCTCTTAACTTCCCTTACCCACCGAGGAGGGAAGGCTGCGGTCTTTAGTACTTTGCTGAAAAATATTTTTTGTAAGCTGTTTACTAGATGATCTATTATTATTTACCTCGTTCTTAGGAAGCTGCTCTTACAGATGCACTAAAGCGATTATCTGATGATGTTGACGAGAAGCTTGATCGAAAGGAAATAGACCCGCTTAGAGATTATCTTGGTGGGTGAAGCTAGAGGAACGATGCATTGCGGAGATATATAAGAAACTGATAGAAAAGAACGAAGAAAGAAAGAAAGGGAAAAAGAAAGGAGGACGTAGGAAGGGGTGAGGGTGGGTAACGGGAAGGGGCCAAAAGGAGGGAGGGAAGGAGAGAAAAAAGAGGTAAGGAAGGAGGCAGAACAGTAGAGAGAGATGGAGGAAGGAGAGGGTGAAGAACCAACGAGAGGAAAGTAGGAAAATAAATCAAAGGAAGGAAGGAGTATAGGACGCACAAAAAATTAGATTGAACGCTGCATGTCAAAAGATGCGCATCTCAGCTTAATGCCATTCTTAACGACATACTTCTAAAAAAATACCGGTTTTCCTATCATTAAAAATATTCCGTCGTTTTCTCTTTTGTTATAGAAAAGAAGATCAAAAGCATGAAGTGCAAGCACGTTGACCTCCCCCTGAACGAAGACCCTGCTGCAGGATTTAGAAAGTAGAAATCTCATAAATCATTCGTGCAATTTTTAATTTTTTAGCCATGTTTCATCTATGACGTACAAAACCAAGCGAGTGATCATATAAATTAAGTCACGTTATTTTATTTTTCAGAGCATTGTTGCGTTTCCATTGTATATCCTGCGATAGACCAGTTGATATGGCCCCCGGACCGTAAGTTATAATTCCAACATTCATTACGTGACTACCATTTATTGCGTGACAAGTATTCTCGTTGAAAGCAAACCGTGTGACGTTTTTGTCATCTTTTTATCCTCAGTCCCAATCCCGCACTGCCTCAGTCGCCGAGTTTACCGGCCTCTCGCACAGCTCGAGCTTACACTACGTTTGAACTCGACCAGATTCGCCAGATGAATCGTGGGTAAGTAGCATAAAAATATACCCCAAATTTAGATGCAGAGCTAAATGTTGGGTAAACAGTGAAGCCTGAAAGAGGGTAGAAGACTGTTCCGCCCTTAGTCTTCCCCTGGCTCTCCTCCCCCAATCGAATATTCACTTGCGTCGATATAAGTGCCTCTATTCTTTTCCCGCATAGTTTTATTTTTCCCTCGCAGACTTTGGTACTAGTGAAGAATAAAAGTTGCTAATACGGAATTTGTTCTTTTCAGGATTTATCCGAGTGACCAGGATGTTGTCAGTACTAACAGATCTTGTGGCGGGAGTCACACAATGACATACCCACACAGACGAACAGCAAGATTCAAGTGAGTATTGATAAGCTCAAGTCAAGCGGAAGTCACACAAGTACTTATATAAAATGAATGGAACGTCATTGGTCATTTGCCCCTTAGTCTATTTCCACTCGCGCCCAACAAGAGCGAATCTGCTTGTTCATGGCGACGGAAACGTTGCGCAAACTTTGCCAAATTTTCCGAACTCCATCCTTCCAATACCAGCAAAAAAAGAACATTGCGCAAAGAATATCACTAATTAACGATCTGTCGAAGCGGTATAGCGTAAAATCTGGGATTTAATGAGAAACTCTGTCTACTTAAATTTTCAACATTAGTAATAGTGTTTATTTATTATTATTTTAGTCAATATTACTATTATCGAGACGAAGAAATAGTACCAGTTCCCATGGCTCAAAAGTGAGTACTGATAGCTATTGAATTTTCGACATCCTTTGCACTTACTTTGATATAAAATAGCGTGGTCGAAGTCTTTCTAAATTGCTTTCATTTTGTTTAGAGATGAGACCGAGTTGGTTGGTGAGGATGGTCAGATCTACAAGGGAAGATTAGAGGATCAGCAGTATCGGGAGGTATGTTTTAGAATCCCTAAAGAATTATTCAGAATCGTTTTTTTCCCCATTCTATTCAACGCTATTCCAAGAGAAGACAACCATCCACTCGCAGAAAAAAGGGAGGAAGTCTCGATAAAGCAAAAAAAAAAAAAAARTAGACAAAAAATGCAAACCTCTATTTGTGCTTTGCCTTAAGGCACGATTACACAGAGCAATTTTCTTTACCAACTTTTTTCGCAAAGGCGTTGCGACCGACAAGTTGTATTGAGCATTGCAGTGTATCAAAATGTTGCAAGACAAGTTGGAGCAATTGTTGAGAAACATAGAATTCGTTTCTACTTTTGGCAACGATTGAGTCTCCGTTGCACCGTGTATAACACTCTCCRACGCTTTTGCGAGACGAGTTGCAGACACAAAAACTGTTTAATCGCGCCTTTAATTCAAACTAAGGATCGAAATGATTTTTCAATATAGGTGCGCAATGGGGGATGGGCGCATTCGGGAAACCATCCTCGSTTCTTTATTTATCGGTATCAATCCACTGCTGTCGTCAAAGATAGGCGTATAGTGTAACATATCCTTTTTTGAAAAATACGTATAACGTATTCTTTTCAGATGTCGTCTCCACGTCAAACTCCAAGACCCTATCGTGTTGCTTCAGCGAAAAGATCCCCTAGTCCCCAACCTCCACGCAATGGAAGTCCAACGAATAGAAGACCGCGCTCGGCAGTACCCAGTTCACCTAGGTCAAGGGCMGAGGGTGCCGAGCCTCAAGTCTCAGAAGTCTCAGCTTCATGACGAGGCTAGAGAGTTACTAAACTGTTAATAGAATAGATCAAGTCAGTTAGGACTTTTTGGATTTTTCCTGCCATTCCCTTGAGAATAAAAATCCTGCTTGATTCACATTCGTATKAGCAAATTTTGTATTACTGTGAAAAAGTCACGGCACAGACAAGCAGTGGCACCTCGTGCGCTRGAACTGGTGCAATGTCCCAAAGTCCATACTGTGACGGTGTCTCGCTGTGTGCCGTGCCAGTCATACGAAATTCGCTCAAATATCTCCTTGAGTCAAGCGTTAATTTTATAAACAAATAATAGATATTTTAAAACGAGAAAAAAATTGGTTACAATTGACTCGGATTTAGAAAAAAAAAAAAAAGAAAATACTTGCAACTTGTTTTTCATGCTCACCACATAAAAATTAAAATGTTGCACTCGAAGGACGCGTAGAAACATTTCCCCCAAACATTCTTTTGTCGTAACAAACTCATTATTTTCTTAATAGACCCCTTGCAATACGCCAGAATGCAGCTCAGTTTGAAGGACATAACGATAGTTATGTTTTGCCTCCAAATTTGAGCTGCTTTGACGTCACGTGCAAGGGGTCTATTGGAAAGATGACCAAGTAAAGGTATCAAGATTTCAAAATTGTTCTCTACAATTTACTACTTCACATCATTTAAACAAATATAGTGCGTGTGGGAATGATTGTAATGAGTCTTTAACRTTTTGAGTGCACAGTGCAGTGAAGGGTTGTTCGTTAAAAACTGATGTGAAAATTATTATCAATTATTAGTAAATATCCTGTTGAATGACACTACATATAAAAYCCTAGTGAAGCTCATCTTACGTTGGGATTAAATTTGGAGACAGAAAGGTTGAGATTTTTGTTCCTAATTCCCACAGAGAGAGAATCCAATGATGGATCAAGTGGTATATATTCATTCATTGAAAATATAAATACTGTAGGTAATTCGCTTGAATAAATATTTCTTTCATGATGAAAAGTTTACATTGCAAATTAGACTAACAAAAATAAGATCCCATAAAAATGCAATTGTTAAATAATATACATTTGTAACATTGGTGAATTTTTACATTCTTGTTAATAAAAAATATTATTGCTAGGTACGTCACAAAAATTTGTGAATAAATTGAGTGACAATTCGCACCCACAGGGGTACCCTGCGGYCTTGGTTGGTAAATGTTTCACTTGTGACTCTCTTTGCACATGAATAGAACTGTTTCTGCTCATTGTGAAATTGTTGTTGAAGTTTTTCATCTTCAGTTACTATGGCAACCTGTGCTTCTAAGTCTCTAAATACTGACCTATGACCAAAATTTGGCGAGCCRATGAGAGTAAGACAAGGGAGGGGAGAGTTGGGTGGGTAGTACCAGAGACCTTTGACATGGAATGTCCATTTGTTTCGCTGATATTCTTGGATTGTTATTCGGTCATTTTGTTTGTGTTGATTGACAAGGTTGAAGAATGCCTTTGCGATATATGTATAAGCATGAGGAATTCCACCTGGTAAGAAGGAAAAAGCTTTAGGCCTAGCAAAAACAACACACTTTAATTTTTTATACCCCAGCAATGCCTGTGCTTTTTCCAACTCCACCCGAGTCAATACAAATTTCATATTATTCTTACCAGCAACTCCTTTAGCCTTGTAAAATCCATTAACAGTTGGATGTGCAGTGAGTATTTCACAATATGCCTTGGAATTCAAAATCAAATTGATGTAGTCTGAAGTCAAGTTGAAGTATCCAGATGCTAAAAGAAGAGTACTTTCTTTGGGTAAACTAGCGAGAAGTTCTGAGGTAACAATTTCATCTTGCCGTACTCCATAGGGGAACATTTGTACCAGTGGAACAACCCAAGTTTGAGAATCATCCTCTGCAGAAACAGGTTTTACTTGCTCATTTTTAGTCTTATCTAAAAACTGAAGTAATCGTTTTGAAGCTTCACTAACAAACTGTTTCCCTCCGTCTGTATCTTGTGTTGGATGAAAGGCAAAATTTGAATGCAACGTTGTGGTGTTGCTTCCATTCAACTGAAGTGAAAATGTCTTGACAGTGGAGATAAGTTGGTGGAAGAAGTCAGCAACTTCTGGAGAGTCCTTGATCTCAATGTACCGATCTTGACGGTTTGTAAAGTAGTCATGGCTTAGATTGGCACTTGAATATAAAAAATGCTTAATTTAATTCTATCATCAATCATCATGCATTTTACTCACTTTCTTGCATGTTGTATCTTATGTTATTTTTGTTGGCTATARAATAGTCAGTAGTTTGAGCATTACCCTTCTTAATCAAAGGACTTTTATCAGTGCTAAGACATTGAGGTTATTTACCAGCCAAGAGGTCCGGATAAGAAAAACGAATGTCCAAGATCTTGAATATACAGTTTTTCAATGCCAAGACCTATCCGAACCAGCTTTTTCCCCCACTTACTTTTCCACTTTGTTTAAAATTTCTTTTGTTGTTTAACAATCTGTTATCTTTTGAGTACACATGCACACGGCATAAGTACCCAGGAACTGGCCCACATTCAGGAATAGTAAATACCGCCCACTCATGCTACCAATCAGTACGCAAGATTTTTAGGATACGAAAATCAAGCTAGATACCGCCTCTTTAAGACTACCTCTGTCAGGTGCTCTAACCATTAAGCCACAGGGAACCCACATTTCCACATTAATTACCTTAAGAATGTACTTACCCACTCATGATAACAGTGTCGTCAGTAAGATACACTTTAAGGTGAGTCAGAGCAACGGTCTCATTGAATCTTTGAGGCAGAACCATCTTCTTGATTCCTCTCAACTCTGGTGTATGATATAAAGCAACACTRACAGATTCACTGAATTCTTGTAAAAGGGGAAGAAGCATAGTTCTGGAGTTTATTACACCTCTTGATCCACGAGTGTGCTCCAAAAGAATTTCAACTTTGATTTGGTCTCCAGCCTTTGATGATTTTCTAACAAYGTCATGTATGCATTTGACCTAGCACAAAATGTTAATAAAACTGGGCTTTAATTCATCGTCATAATCATTATCGACATCTTCGTCATCACCACCACCATCATCATCAACATCATTACCATCATGCGATGGCAGAGAAACATTTGAATCTAGTCTAATCTGATTTACATGAGAAAGAATTCAGTTTCCCTGGGGGAAAACTCTATAGTTGTGCCTCCAAAGCCTCTATAGCACCAAAATAGCCACTTAGAGATCACTCGTTATTTAGATTATAGGRGGTAGGTGCTGGTGCAAATAGGGGGTGGGTCATTACTTTTTATGCTGGGAGAAAAAGGGGCCATGCATATTTATTCAATWAAATCTGTAGGATTTTTTTTTTGAGGGGGGAAGGGGGAGGGGGCAAGGGTCTGAGGGCTAAAAAAATGTGGATCACAAAAAGGGTGGTCAGGAAAAAGAAAACATTGCATACCTAATTTTATACCAGCCCTCTTCTCTAAATAACAACGGGTTCCTTAACAGGTAGCGCACTATGTAAAATAATTTAAGAAATTTTAGTGAACCTACCAAYTGCTTTTCCAAATCACCTGTGCCCAAGTACAAAGACGCAATGACAATCCGTCGTTTAGATGAAGAGATGTTGGACTACAAGAAAATTTCTCACCTTAGTCAAATAAATAATTGAAGGAATATTCAATACMGACATATGCCTGCTTACCGTAAACCTTTCATAAAATTGTGTCGGTCCATCAAGCACTGAAATTGCGTCACTACGAACCCTAAAGACCGGACCATAATTTCTCATCCATTCGACTATGTCTTTTGGGGAATTAGAAGAACTTGAGCTAGAACAACTATGCCTTAATGCTGTGGCAAAATGTCGGTTGTATGTATGGGAATCTTTCGCTAATCTGGGAAAAAATAGTGAGCCCAAAAATATGACATTCTTGGCCGCCATTTTGTTTTGTTGGCGGAAACAGCTGACCGGKAAAAATCGCTGTAGACACCTAAATGACCAGGCCTTTTAGTGTTACTATGACAACATTCAGCCATTTTGTTTTTTTACAGGAATAAAGTTTCAAACTTGCTTGAAATTTTCTTGTGAAATTTCTCTATTTAGTGAGAATTTTAGGTATTTTATGGTGTAARGATATAAAAGGATATCTAAGGTAAGTATTAATGTGAATTAATTGTATATTTTAAGCTCGAAAAAGTCTTAAAATGTTGATTTAGTTTCTGTTTACCTTGAAATATCTTCTTTCTTGACTCCTGCAAATCCATTGCCATTTTTATATTTTATTRTCGCTTCGATGTTATTTTTAAAAACGTTAAAAAGAAAATCATGAGTGCTCTCAAATCAGAAGCTGTTCACATTTATTTGAGCGATTTTTGACTGCGTGCATGAACTAAAGATCTTTTCATGGATTTGTAAGGTTAATTGTACAAAAATAAAATAAGCTTATCAAAAACTTAGATCTTYTTAATTTTGTTAAATTTGAATTGATTTTTTGCTATTTTTCATCTGTCGCAGAAATTCCATTCCATCAACGTTTAAAAACTAATTAATTATATAATAATTATCAATAATTTAATGTAAACTTACTTTATTTCAGGCATAGAAAGCCTTCAAYCAGCCATGGAGATAGTATACGTATACACAAAGAAGCGCAATGAGTTTGGTCGACAGTGCAACTTCTCTGATCGACAGGCAGAATTACATGTTGACATTTCTCCYGATGAGAAGATGTTGCAGGATTATGTGGAAAAAAATCCCTGCGACACTGGGATRCAGTGTGTCCAAGAAATGTCTGAACATGAGGTAAGGGAGTAGGATTAAGAACTGATTTTGTCTGCTATTATGTAAATATGGGTGGTATCATGTAAAATATGGGTGGTAATTAGGCCATATGCATTATAGAGTCAATTACTACRACTACCAGAATCCCTTGCACACTTTTATGTCCATCTAATTAGCAACAACCTCAAGCTTGGTGACTTCATCAGGAAATCATTTGTAGCTGATGGGTGCCATTCATAGCTTTTCAATGATAATTCATCCATTAAAAAGCTGAATTATTTGCAGTTATTTGTAGACCACATCATCCTGCAAAATCTGAAGTTCCAAAACTTTATAGAAGTATTGGTGTAACTATGTTTATGGCAATATGTTAATAGATGCTGTCTGTTACTGTAATAAATTAAACAGGTGAACACTGAACGCTTTGAAACAGATGTACATGGAATAAACCATGTTGAAGGAGGATGGCCAAAAGATGTCAACCCTGCAGAAGTAGAGCAGACTATTAGATATAGAAAGAAAGTAGAAAAAGAGGAAGTATACATGAATACCATACAACAACTTGGGAATGTGAGTACATTATTCRAACGCTTATCTTTTATGAATTGCCACATCAATAATTGTAAGTGTGTTTGTGTATATCAAGAGGGTTAAGCAAACACCTAGCTAAGTTGTAAGAAGATTTGGCCTGCCYTGTTTCAAAACTCCATAGAAAGCGCAAAATTGTATGCCACACCTGTGCCATAGAACATACTCATATTCACACCTCTGCACATGTATCTCACCTCACCTCTATTCACTTACCTTTGCACAACTTCTCCACCTCTACCCTCTCATCTCCTGCTCAGTCGCACACACCTCACCTCACTGTCCCCTCCCTTGTCCATTTCATCTGCTGCTCCGCTGCAGCTCATTTTAAATGCCCTCCTCATGGTCAGTTGCACAAAAGGCATCCACCCCCCCACCCCCTCCCCCCCACAACCCACCCATAGATTAAGCTTTGATACAATCTTATAAGTAGTTGACTACACATGTATACTTTGTTTATCACCAGGTAATGGAGCACTGTATTAAACAGAATAATGCTATTGACATCTATGAAGAGTATTTTGCTGAGGTAGAGGTTGATATAACTGGTGAACCCCCTTCAGCCAAGACTATCAATGTTTTCAGGTAAAAAAATAGGAAATACTGCAAAGAAAGAGATTGTATCAAATCAAATTTTAATTTTATCAAGCCTTCACCCTGATCCTAATTAACTTAGAGCATGGCTAACTTAGAAATTGAAATAGAATTTAGCAGGATTTTTCATTGGTATAGTGYATAGTATATATCATTTTTCCATATTTTTTAGAGATCCTAATGAGATGAAAAGAACAGCAACTAGTCTATCCTGGTATCCTGATGGCACCCAAAAGCTGGCTGTYGCATACTCCATTCTGGAGTTTCAGAAATCTTCTGGAGAGATGTGCATGGATTCATATATATGGGACATTGGTAATGATTAGACAAAACAACAGTATAGTAATATCTTCATTTGAAAGTTGAACTTCACTTTGTTTTTATCGGTGGGTTTTTGAACRGCTGATAAAAGTCTTTGAATCTCAGTATCTGCTCCAAATGGTGTTCAAACACTGACCACCATGTGTTGTTATCCAGAAAGAATGCTATTGAAAACTTTAGATTCAGCTGATGAACATTCTGCACCAGACAGGAAATGACATCAAGTGAAATAAGTGTTTAATTTTGTAAAAAACATCAAGTGTGATCAAGCCACATGAAACATAACATTCTAATGATTGTTTTTTCTTTTYGTAGAAAATCCCAACAAACCTGAATTAGCACTAAAGCCAGTGTCTCCTTTAGTGTGTCTGGAGTATAACCCTAAAGATCCTCATATTCTTGTTGGTGGTTGCTATAATGGTCAGCTTGGTAAGGAACACTCTGTTGCCTCATAATCAACAATCATTTCTGGAATAGAGTAACATGGTGGTCTAGTTATATTCTTAAGGACTAATGCTGGTGATGATGATGGTGGTCATTGTGATGATGTGCTGATGCTGATGTGCTGATGCTAATGRTGATGATTTTGAAGATAGTGATAGTGATGGTGGAGATCATGCAATGATGGTGTTGATTATGATGATGATGATTGTGATGATGGTGATAATCATTTGATGATGGTATTGATTGTATTGATGATGATGGGAATAATTGTAATGATGATGATGGTAACATTATATAATTTAATTTAAACGTTTTTGTACTTGGCAGGATTCTGGGACACAAGAAAAGGTTCCCACCCAGTAGAGATGACAAAAATTGAAAAAAGCCACCGAGACCCTCTTTACAAGACATTATTCCTGCAATCCAAGACAGGCACAGAGTGCTTCTCCACCAGTACTGATGGACAGGTACTGTGGTGGGACATCCGTAAACTTGGTGAGCCAACAGAGTCTCTTGCACTGGCACCGAACAAGAAAGATTCCCGATGCCTGGGAGGGGTAGCCCTAGAGTATGAACCAACTATGCCAACAAAGTTCATGGTTGGAACAGAGCAAGGGTCAGTACTGTCTTGTAATCGTAAGGCCAAGACACCAGCAGAAAAGATTGTGGCTACATATTCACAGCATTATGGACCAGTATATGCTGTTCAGGTAATAAACCATGAAGGTTATATTGAAGAAATAGAGAACGTGCGTGCATGCTGTGTGTAGTTATAAAGCACATGGGGATTGGCAGAACACAAGAGAAATGTTAGCAGAAGCACAATGCATATCAAAGTACTTCTCAACACTTCCCAAGTGCTTTATAACTCCACACAGCACAGCAAGCAAGTTTTTTATTTCTTTTATAAGATACAAATTACAATAACAATAATAAATTTTTTTGGATAAGAATGATGCAACTGAAAGTGCATGTGCATGCTGTGTGCTCTCATAAAGCACACACTCTCAACCAATCAGAACACGAGATTCATAACAGTTACTTTATAATAATGTTTAAAACCTAGTCTTGAACTACAGTTTTCTTTGTAGTGATCTGGAAGTCGGAAGGTAGAGGGTTTTAGTCTGTTCCTGAACACAAAACTATGATCATGTTATAAAAATATATTATTTTTATTTGTCTAGCGCAATCCATTCTTCCCAAAGAACTTCTTGACAATTGGAGACTGGACAGCAAGGGTATGTAGGAGCATTTTGGACATCTATCTCTCTATCAATCTATCCATCCACCCACCCACCTTTCCATTCCTTCATTTGTTCCTCTATTGACTTGACTTTTTTATTCATATCAGATTTGGTCAGAAGACTTGAGAGAATCCTCAATAATGTGGACAAAGTAAGTATAGAGCTTTAAAACCATGATGTATTCCTGGGTCAAACTGCTCACCAAGACCACTAAAATAATGCAAAAAAAAAGAACAATCATTTAACCTCCACCTGAAACAAATAGAACTTTGGACAACAAATCCTGWCATGAAAAAAGCAAGAAAGATCTTTTTGTTTTAGACCCAGAAGTCGTTTTTCCATTTGATTGACTTCACACTTAAAAACTCTATTAGAATTTTGATGTATCTTGTTTTGATGCTGTCTATTGAGAACCAGGAATTTCATTTTGGTATTGTTTGTGTACAGGCAACACTTGTCGTACATGACAGATGGGTGTTGGAGTCCAGTCAGACCTGCTGTCTTCTTCACCTCTAAGATGGATGGTACACTAGATGTCTGGGATTATCTCTTCAAACAGAATGAACCTACCCTTACCATACAGGTATTATTGCCAATGTAAAAACATATTAAGTTTCATTACAATACAATAGATTGATTTACCCTGCGAGCAGAGTCTCCTTTTAACTCCTCTTCGGACGAGAGTATTGAATAATGTTCGTGATGGTAGTATGGATGGTGTKGTAATTGATGTTGATGATGACCAATAACCAGCGATAGTAGTCATAMTGATGGTGATGATGCTGATGATTGTGGCGGTGGTGGTGAGCGTGTTGTTCATGGTGCTGATGACATCAGTAATATGAYGATGATACATAAATGAATGATAGCATTCATGGTGTTCAWACCAWTGACACTTTACCATAATCAATACACTAGGTATGTGACGAAACCCTTAACTCAATGCGAGTGCAAGACCAGGGCAGACTCGTTGCTTGTGGATCTCATTCTGGTACTGTCACTCTCTTGGAGCTGTCTGATGGCCTTTGTACYATGCAAAGAAACGAAAAGTCTTCAGTTAACGCGGTAAGCAATAATCCAACTTAAATCTCCTAAATCTTCCTATCATCACCATGATTTTGTGGAATATGAAGAATCGCCAAAATGAAAGATTTGTTTTGGTTGCTTCAGTTTCCTATACATGTCATGCGGATACCGGATTCCAACTTTYCATCTTAAACTCCATCTCAGATTCYTTTTCTCGGATTGCAACTTTCTTTGACTCTGGGTTCTCCATTTCGAACCGCATACCTTGCCTCAGTCAGAAACTAGACTTCTTTTTTTCTCTTCCTCGAAACCAAGATTTTTCCGCCATCTGGGATTATTGGTTAATCATTTCGCTTTTCCCATTGATAAGAAAGTTACTGTAATTTTCATACATTCCTTGTTTTTTCTCTCTCCATAGATGTTTGAACGTGAAACGAAGCGAGAGAAGATCCTGGAGACAAGACACAGAGAGATGCGTCTGAAAGAGCGCTCAAAGAGCTCACAGGATAAGTTAGTAGAACCAAACCATTTTGTACTAGAGGGGAGGGGTGGGGGATTTGACTCTCAAATTACTTCCATGTTTGCTAGGCATAGAAATAGAGCAGTTTTCGGAGTGAAAAACGATACGGAAAATTCGTAGCCGCAATGTAGCCGTGCTGTATCCTTCCGTAACCGTAGCTACGCGTTATGATTGCATGAGATACTGGAAGACAATGGGAARCCTTTTCAATGTTMATCAGYACAGTTTCCCAGTCATACRAAAAGCTCTCTATGCTTCTSTAGTTTTTATGATAATAWTAATAATGATTTATTGAGCGCCAATTCCGTAGAGTTCAACAGCGCTTTACAATGTTTAAAATCGACGAAAATGAGAAGTAATATTAAAATGCAACTACAAGACAAAAACATTTTATTGAATTTTTAAGAATAAATATCAAGATAATGCAACTACATTTGCAAAAATACAGAGGAATTAGATTCGATTAAAAATGTTGATGTTAAAACATTATTTTAAAAATATTGATAATATAAATAAATGTAATTATTATCCAGGGAAAACGAAGAAAAGCATGAAGATGAGGAAGAAGAAGACATGATAGCCAAGGCAGAGAGRGATTTCTTTTCCATAATAGAAACGGAAAAGAAAGCCCGAGACGAAGCAGAAGCGAAGAGGAATGCTGTAATCTCAGAGGTGAAACAAGCTATTGCACAGGAAGGGACCAC